CCCGCCCTTTTTCGTTTGACCCCAAGGCCTTGCCGCCTTTCTACCAATCTCTATTACTAGCCTGGCGGAGCCTTAATGGCTCCTTTTCCCACTGGTATCAAACTCTTGTATACGGTTCGTCTACTCCCCTTGGTTGTGCTCCTGTATTAAACATGTCTACTAGTCTCTGTTACCGTTACCTACTGTCGGAGAACATGGTCCCGCTGCATTGCGTGGAGAAGTTTAACACCATCTATGGGAATCTGGACTGGCCTGCCACGTGGCGCTCCCTGTCCCTCTTCCATCTTGATCGTCAGGTCACTGACCTTAATTGGAAGATTGCACACGGCGTCTTGTACACTGCACAGCGTCTGGCCTCCTTCGGCTTATCTGTTCCTTTACCTTGCTTCTGTGGTGCCCCGGTGGAGACACCGGAACACCTTTTCTTTTATTGCCTTCTTGCTCAGAGCGTTCTTTCTTGGATACAGTCGTTACTGTTTGGTTTCTCTTCCATGTGTCCTGTTCTCCTTCTTCGTCATGTCATCTTTGGTCTCAATTCTAATGAGTTGAGGGCCACCCCTTGTGTTCTCATCTACCTCCTCAACCTCTGTAAATTCTTTGTCTGGCAATCTCGTAACGACTTCCGCTTCCGTAATTCCAGGCCTGGCGCTGTGGACGTCATCGCACGTGTAAAGACCCGCCTGAGGTTTCGTCTCAACATCTTCTTCAGGCGCTTCACATCCACCCGACGTCGTGACTTCTTCCATCGGCAGTGGGGTGCCCGTGGCACTGTAGCCTCAGTGGTCAACGACACTCTTGTGTTTACTATCTAGTCTCGCTTGTTTGAGTGTTGCGTGACTTTTTCTGCTTGAATGGGTGTCTCTGTGCTACTCGTGCTGGGTCTCCTTCATTGGTGTACTGCACAGTAGCTCATTGTCGGTCTCGTTTGCTTGAGTGACGTGTGATTTTTCGCTTGAATGAGTGTGTCTTTGTGCTGCTTGTGCTGGTGTACTGCACAGTAGCCCATTGTTAGTTTCCGTTTCGTAACCCATGTGCTGGGTCTCCTTCGTTGGTGTACTGTACTGGGCTTGTATCGTTCTGTCGTTTTAGTTTTCTGTTTGTTCTCTTGTGTGTGTGTTCAGTTTTTGGTTTCAGTGAGGTGGGGTTCGATTCCCCAGCGAAGTTGGCGACTGGTGTTCCTCGTTTGTTGGGGTCCCAATCCTAAGGCCTTGCACTCTAGCGATGGGTTGGAGTGGACATTATGGTCGGCAGGCATTGCACCGCCCTCACGGGAGCCTGACCGTCCGCTTCAAAAATAAAAAAAATTCTTAGCGGCCTAATACATTGCACCTCCTTCCTTCGGTTACCTTTTTATCTTTTGCTCTCTGTGATCAACATGATTTTCTTCTCCGTGAGAAGGTTTCCTTTTCCAATCCTTCCTTTTTTTGTCTTCTCTTCTCGTTCATCTTCACTTTAATGAGCCATGGTTTCCTCCGCCACTTCCGTTGCCAATTGGACGTTATTCATTTCAAGTTTTCCCTCGTTCCTTTTGCTTCTCTTCCTTGCTGAAAGTAAGAAAGTAAAAAACTAAGAAAGTATCCAAGAACTCCAGGAATATGGATTGAGAGATGACAGCTTTTGCTTTGTTACCTGTCCTCGATGATGACATAAACTGATGATGATGAATGGAATAATATACATGCAAGAATGTCAACATAATGATTTAAATCAAGACCATGCCTAACTTACCTTGCGAGCAGAGCCTTTTTAACCTGTCCTCGAATCGATTAAAAAGAAGAAAAGAAGAAAAGGCTCTGCTCACAGGGTATGCCTAACTTCACGCTAGTTGAATTTTTTTTAAATTTATTTATTATTATTTTGATTTATTTTGATTTATCACAGATTCCAACAATTAAGAGGCTCTTCTTCTGTAACAATACTAATCTAATCTAAGTATATATACATATATATGTAGTAACTAATTAAAAGTATAATAACAATAATAAAATTAATCAATGTAACTTATCGTGAGATATTAAAATNCTCTAGTTTGAGCACTCTGGCATGGCTTAGACGATACCACAAAGGTTGGATCGTTTGGGGTGACCATATTGGTTCTCCTCCATCCTAGCATTAGCACTGCACTGATGAGGCCCAGAAGGCCGAAACAGTACTGTCTGCAGTTAGATATAGCTCTTTGGCATACAAAGCTTTGCTTTCATGTCCAAATTGAGCACTCTAACTAGGATGAGTCATTGCTCTGCAATTGCGCATGCTCGCTAGTGTACTCTAGTTTGAGCACTCTGGCATGGCTTAGACGATACCACAAAGGTTGGATCGTTTGGGGTGACCATATTGGTTCTCCTCCATCCTAGCATTAGCACTGCACTGATGAGGCCCAGAAGGCCGAAACAGTACTGTCTGCAGTTAGATATAGCTCTTTGGCATACAAAGCTTTGCTTTCATGTCCAAATTGAGCACTCTAACTAGGATGAGTCATTGCTCTGCAATTGCGCATGCTCGCTAGTGTACTCTAGTTTGAGCACTCTGGCATGGCTTAGACGATACCACAAAGGTTGGATCGTTTGGGGTGACCATATTGGTTCTCCTCCATCCTAGCATTAGCACTGCACTGATGAGGCCCAGAAGGCCGAAACAGTACTGTCTGCAGTTAGATATAGCTCTTTGGCATACAAAGCTTTGCTTTCATGTCCAAATTGAGCACTCTAACTAGGATGAGTCATTGCTCTGCAATTGCGCATGCTCGCTAGTGTACTCTAGTTTGAGCACTCTGGCATGGCTTAGACGATACCACAAAGGTTGGATCGTTTGGGGTGACCATATTGGTTCTCCTCCATCCTAGCATTAGCACTGCACTGATGAGGCCCAGAAGGCCGAAACAGTACTGTCTGCAGTTAGTTATATATATAAATATATATATATTTATAAATTTTCGTAAAAATTGCTGGATGTGTGTTGCATTTAGTTCCAGAGTTCTGCAATATGCAGTGGTGACAGTCATCCTGATCATGGAATGGCGTTGGTTTCTCTCCCGCACTTCAAATGAAATTTCCAATCACTGAGAAGATAAAAATGATCATTTCTTCAGAAATAGTTCTAACTGTATACTTAATTAGCGTATTGCTATGTTTGGTTGCTGAGAAACCAATATTAAAGTCGTCTATTTTTTGTGACTGTTTACTTCTAAAAATGCGAATAATTCAGATTAATTCTCTTTAACTTCTACTTCACGAAATGTTATTTCTGCCTTCTGGCCACTGTTAGTGGTATCTCATCCATTTAAGTGGTCATAAATGTTTTCTTTCTGAAAAAGATCAATCTTTTTGTAAGCAACAATATATACGATTCCAAGCTTGTTTTTCTGTCAGCAAATTACCTTTGACTTCTTCTTCCTGGATCGTTTAGCAGGCAGATTTTGTTCTTTTTCTGCAAGGGAGTCCTTTAGGCTATCCAGTATGTTTCCTGTATTAACGAAATGATCAATCTGGTTTAGACAAACACCTACATGGAAAACTTAACCAAGTTACGATGACAAAATATTTTCAAAAACAAACAACGTAAGACACGCGGGACGAGCAACACACCATCACAGACGTCTCCTCTCCCAATTTTCCAGAGGGAGGGCGCCGACGTAACATGGGGCGGGATGGCGGGGCTGAGAAGAAAAAAAAAGGCGGGAAAGCGGGACTTGAAAAACCCTATTATAAATATACCTCTTCTTGATCCTTTTTTAGAGCCAGATGGTTTGTTTTGTTTGTCCATGGTTTCTGTTTCTGGAGGGAAACAAAGATAAAAAGAACCAAGGAAGGGTGGATAAAGAGAAAAGAGGAAGAAAAGATCGAAGACATTTAAAGTAAAAAAAACGGCTATTACAATTTCGTGCAAGCAGATATTAATGTCACCACATGAATTT